GAATAAAATGGGGGGGGGGGCAAAAAACAAAACAAAACAAAAGCAAAAAACACATACACACACACACAAAACAACACGACACACACACACACAAAACAACAACAAAGTGGAAAGGAAGAGTCATTTGGGAAGTAAGCACTACTGACACAGTGTTCCCATTTAGTCTTCTTATTTCTTCTGTAAAAAAAAAGTATTTCAATTCAAGAAGAGTCAGGGACACCCGGTTATTTCTTATGGTTTGCAAAAACGCGTCATCAACTCCCAAGTCCTAATATAGTACATTAAGCAGATGACRCGGAATTTGATCGGGAGGGGAAAACTAATACAACAAGGATCCCGAAAATCGTAAAACAAACAGCGATTTTGTACGCATTTAAGGACACTTTCCATTAATTATTTTAGTCATTTATGTCTTAGTTCCTTTCCTACGAACGTAAAAAACATATTCATGAGAATTTTTTTCAGAAGAAATATTATAAATCTGTAGTCATACCGTATCCTAGTGTTATGAGTGGACGGAATGGACCTCGTTGGCTTGGACGTAATGTTGTCCTATTTCAGAACACGTGTCATTCCCTTGAAAATGAGATTCTTTGTTTGAGTTGTATCCATATTCATGTGCAACCGTTAAACAAAGAAAGGATACTCTAGGGAATGACACGTGGTCTGAAATGGGACAACATTACGTCCGAGCCGAGGAGGTCAATAGCCCATTTCACGGATTCCGTTACTCAACCTCAGCCTCGTCAGCGTGTAATTATTCTTTAGAATTTGACTAAAGTCTGCAGCAATGAAAGGAATTTACACATCAACGAACAATTGAAACACTTAAAAATTTCACAGGTTGTAGGCAATTTCTAAAGAATAAATTACACGCTGACGAGGCAGGCATCTGTGAAATGGTCTATTACGTACCCAGTAAAATGCATACCATACTATCCGTGAAAAACCTTATAAGAAATTGTTGATAAATGTGCACAAGTTAGTAAGTTCAGTAGACCTCAGTAGATCGTAGACCTTCAAAATTTTGCACTAATTTGTACAATTTTGTTTAACCTTTTCATGAATATATGGTATGCACTCTACCCTACGATTCCACTGAACTCATACCCAACAGTTCTATAAGAAATATTCTCGTGAGGCCATTGTATCATAGCGTCATAGACTTCAACTACCAGAATCCTTTGCACGAATAATTAGCACCAATAAAAAAACTATATATCCCGAAAATTAGAAGAAAGAAAGTTCGTGTAGCATTCACTTAGTGGTACTGAAATAACGCCACCTTACAAAAGGTATTGACGAAGAAGCCTTCGGAGAATATAATTTTACAGAAAATGATTCAGATCTTACAAAATGTTTACCCATTATCTAAGCATCTTTCAAGCAAACGCTGCTGGTTGAAACTCTTTAAGATGGTCGAGATGGGATGGGCGGGCGACCGGGGATGGGGGGTGCACCATTCGGCTTGGGAGGAGCAGGCGGTCTCCTGTGGAAGACAAAAAAAAGGGTTGACAGGTCTCCATTAATAGAGCGTTTTCACTCACGTGAGAAGGTAGCCATAAGTATTGGTTTACCAAACAATAACAACTTTCTCCACAAGCTTTGCATAAAAATAGAGTTCAATTCCCGGAGGATAGAAAATGTATTGTTTTGATGTCCCATAATGGCCGCTTTGACACCACGTGGAAAAGCTTTAAAGGAGTCACTTCTTTTCTGCAATGGAGCTTTCATCAGGATAATGGCAAGTTTTTTAAAATAAAATCCATAATTAATACCAGAAGACCAGGATCTAGACGTTACTGAGTGTTTTTCTTTGAAACGTCTGACTCAGTGCCGTTCCAAAAATAGATTACATGGACTGTAAGAGACTGTTCACAATAATCCACAATATGGATTATTGGAATAAAATGCGATGGATAAAGTGAAATGGAGAAAGACGAAAAGTTAAAAATATTATTTACCTTGGCACAGAAGGGATGTTGTCCGGTCTTGCAGGAGCTGGACGTGACGGCCCAGTAGGGCGGGAAGGATACCCACCAGAAGGAGGTCGTCGACTGACCTTAGGACTAGGATTAGGAGGTCTGTTATCCATGTCATCTGATGCGATGGGAGGGGGTAGGGGTGTGGCCGCGGTATGGCTATCTATATCGGATACTATCTCCAAGGCTTCTTTGGTACTTTGGTACATTCTTATCATTTCCTCACGATGTTGCATTGCTTCTTCGCTTTCTTCCATCAAGTCATTCTGTTTAGAAATAAAGAAAATAAAGTATCAACCAATATCCATCATTTGAAATGCAGACAGTAATTCACACGATACGCCACAGGCAGCCCAACTAATAATGTTMTTGTGTACGATTTACTGCAAATGTACGCGGTTTTAAAATCTGCCAAGGAGAAAATGTAAGGTTTGTTTTCAATACATCTAGAGTGCTCACACTAAATCCGTGAAACAAATACTAATTTTTAGCACTAAGTAGTGATAATTAAACAATAGAAAACAAAGGATTCTGTATGAAATAGTACTAATTAGTACTATTTAATGTTCACGGTTTTAGTTCGTGCATTCTAGTTGACACAATTTCAAATGTTCGTTATTGTGACTAAGTTAATGACTATGTAATATTTGAGCTCGATGCGAAGCCCACGTGCCAAGATTTTTGAAAATTGCTCTCTTCCATAATTTTTTTAACGGCTTACAAAGTATACCTTTGCTTGATGTTTTACATCTTTGATGAAATGATCACTTTGTTTGTCAAAATCAATTCTGCGCATCGATAATAAACGGTCGGCAAGTCACGTAAGGGTATTTTTTTTGCCAGAGGCATGACATCATGTCCCATGCGCAGTATGTTGCATTGTAATCGAGAATTTGAACTTCCTTTTTAAGGGTTTGGGGCATGTGAGTGAGTGATACATACCATGCTAATACACGCGAAATCTCTGTTACTGGGCATTACATGTTTTTCGAAATGAAGAAAACTGGAGAAAACCCCTCGATATGATATGGAAACTAGTAAATAAAAACTATATCCAACAAATGAACATCTCTATTTCTTACCTGGTTTCCTGCTGAATAAATGTGAGCCAGTAACTCTTGGCTGATGAAGTCTTTAATCTGAAACAAAAATAGTATACAATAAAATGGGGTGCCATGGGATGGTATCACTTAATAAGATGCTTGTACACAAGCATGTTTGTGTTGCCAAAGTTTCGAAAGTCGGGAAATTATTTCTTTTCACATCGAAATTCAAATTCAAGTGAATCTAGTCAAATCATTAAATTCCAAAAACTTTAAAAAAATAAAGACAACACTTTAACAGGCCTCAGAGAGAAGCAAGAGTTGAGAACGAGTTTACCGTATTCAGAATATAACGCTACGGCCGAACTACACGGTACGAATTTTGCGAGCATCATTTTTACGACACGAATTCCTTCGTGTAAATCGACCGCGCAAGTTACTTACGACTATAAATGGTAGCTGAAAGTTGGCGTAATTTTGTTGCGCGCGACAGCGGTGAGGAAAAATAGCATCGTCTAAATCAGCCTTAAGAGATACTCTTAGAAAATCTAACAGAAAAGTGCAGGCTAGCTGTTGTTAATAAATGGATTCGAATAAGCTAAACGCAGTCTCCATAGCAGCGATTCAGGCGGACCTACTTACATTATTACAGATCATATACATGATTGTCTTTGGTACTAAGTCTCGGATGGTTTTCATGACAATCTTGATGTAAGAATCCACCAAGTTTCGAATAGTTTCCACTTGACGTTCCATCTGCGGGTCCAGGGTACCAATTTCACCTTGCTGAAGTAGAAGGATTTTGTTTGTTTAAATAGATCTATCTAGGAACGTGTACTATTTGAAGGTGGATTTGAGAGAAAAAAAGAGGGAAAAGAAGAGAAGAGAACAGAAGAGAAGAGAAGAGAACAGAAGAGAA